TGCTCTTCGAACGTTGGAGGAGAAGGACCGTCGTCATCGGCACTCTGCCGACCATCTCTCCAAGATTTTAACCGCTGTGCGAAAGACCTCGAGAGCCTGAAGCACTTAGTGCGCCGACTGCCTTACATTAAGGCCTATCGTGCTCAATCGGAGCGGCTCCTAACCGTCGAGCAGGCGAATACGTCACTTCGTAAGACGGTGGATCGCCATGCGCCGTTGGGAACGGATATTGACCCGATGCTTAAAAATAGTTGCTGGTTCAGCTTCTGGGTGGCCGAGCACCTTTGGGCGTCGTCCAGCGCCTACGCTTTCGCGTTCACTTGCGCCGTATTTTGGTACGGCTTAAGCAAGCCCGCATAAAACACCGGGTGGGTGCGCATCCTTCTCAGAAGGTTCAGCGTATACGTCAGGTCTCGCTTGGCCATGAGCCGAAAAGGTTTTTATAAACCGTGACAAAGCTTCATCTTTAATACAGCAGAAACCGCATGTGTAGAAGGTGTCTGGCCCTTGATAAAACCAGATCTCCGATCTCAATTTTTCAACATTTCTATGTCTTCTTCCGTCAGCATATTCCTTCTGCATGTCTTGGCTTTCTGCCATCGCATTGCGAGCGTAAGACACTCCATCTGGTATACAGGAAGTCTCCGACTTCTTTACGCACGGTGAGGGGTCTGGCATCAGCTAGCTGCTCGTCAATTTCTTTCCCCACCACGCCCTGAGCCATGGGATAGCGGCGTTAGCGGAACGTGAGGATCAACAAGCCCGTTCACGTAGAATGACGTGTAGCCGGTAAATGAACGCACTGCATCGTTCATAGCAAACTCTTCGAGTGGTAACACAGCGCTCCAGCGCTCCAGCGCTTCGGCGTCTTAGCGCAGATGCTGCGAAGATCGTCTTTAACGACGCGATTCACGCTCTCAGTCTAACCATCGCTCTACGAATGGTCCGCGGCTGATATAGTCAACCTTGTTCCTGGCACCCAAAAGATAATAGACCAGAACTTCCCAGTGAAGTGCGGGTCTCCATCAGAGGCAATTAACACTGGAAATTAATGCTGTCGAAAGACACGATCGACAAACAGCGTCGCTGCACCCACGCCGTCAATCGCGTCCGGCACTGCCACAAAATGAGCCATCTTGGTCAAACGGTCCACAAACACCACCACACCCGTGTTGCCTGCTGAGTCTTTTGGGTGGCCAGACACAAACTCCATACTCATGGACTGCCAACAACCGGAAGGTATCGGTAAACTGGCCAGAGGCGCCGTCGCACTCTGAGAGAATCTATCCCTCTGACACGTCTCACACTTGCGCACACATGTGCTCGTCCAATTTTACAGTTTGAGCCACCATTAGTGGCAACTCACCGAGCTGTACGTCTTCTCACGACCGATATGACCACTGAGTGGGGTGTCGTGGGCCTCATAAAAGAAACGGTATTTCAAATCATCGTCGTGAGGAATATTAGAATTAAGTACTCCCAATTTGTGGCGTTTCCTTGGGTCGGTGCTATAATACAGCAACTCGTTATTATAATGATTATCGGTGTTACCATGCGCACAAACGCGCCGACAATTTTTTGTCCGAGTTACCAACCTCCTTGCTTCCGAGGGCCTGTAGCACCGCTGCACACATACGGTCACCCGTGTATGCGGCGCGGATCAAATCCGTCACTGACGACGTCACCGACGTGAAATGAGCAGGCTTATAGTCCGGTTTGCGTTTCAACAAGACAATGCATTTTGCTTTCATGGCTTATACTTCACCTCGAAACTATATTCTGCAAAGAATGAGAGCCACCTGGCCATCCCTCTGCGAGAGGTGATGTGACTGAGTCACAGTGCGTAAGGACGCATGATCTGTGTAGATCACAATCGACTTTGAGCCAAGCAGTGCACCATGAACTTGACAAGTGGATACTACATCGCAAGTAATTTCTTGGCATGAACTTAATAGTTTATCTTCGTAACCTTAAGCCGGTGAGATTTAACCGCGATTACCCGATCTCGCCCCTCGGTGTCTGCTTGCAGCAGTGCACAGCCAATGGCGGACACTAAAAGGACGATCGGGACCTGGTAACGCCAGTATTGGTGCATGAAGAAGGCTGTCTTCGACCCTGTCGAAAGCCTCCTGATGCTTTGTGTCCCAGCGCCATTCCTTATCCTTCTTTAGGCGATTAGACAATGGCCGTGCCATTTTTGCATAATTCGCGCTATACTTGTCCAAGATCTTTTTTTTAAATGAGGACCTCTTTGAATAATTATAGTATCAATAGCAGTTGAAGTTTTACCGGTTTGTCGATCACCAATTATTAACTCTCTTTGACCTCGACCGATAGGAAGTAAACTATCTACTGCTCCAGGCCACATGCGCAATTTCTTTTGGTGCTTTGGAACTGGCAAGTTCACAATGGCTTTGACCTTAGCGGGATCTGCTCGAAGGCCACGCTTCCCAATGAAACACCCTGAAAACACGCATGCAAATGATTTAATTGCGTAATTTGCGTGATTTACAAGATCAAGGTCTTGCCGCGAGTTAGTACACTTAAAAGATAAATCAAATATGACAACAGCATGAAATTTACAACTTTATTATATGTAACAGCGATGACAAGGATCTTTCCTTTGCGCTTGCTACGCAATGTCACGTCTCCACGATTAACCTAACAGTTCAAGCATACTCTCCTTTCATTCTAATTTGTCTATATATAATTCTCTATCAAAACGTCGCACTCGAAGCTGATAGTCTTTGCTGAATTTGGACAGTTACAATAACTAGCATTATACAATCGATGTACAATATTCTATAAAATTATATATACCGCGGTACATGAAATGCAGTGGAGAAATAAAACACATAACTTTTTCAGCTAAAATTACATTTTTGGAAAAGGTCAGTCATTAAAACTCATCTGCTTATTGAAGCATTCAGCGTCTGTGAGTGATACGGAATGGGATCTAACATACCATTACCGCTCGCAGCGCGGGCGACGCTTGGTCTGTCCTATTCAGCAAGCAGAGTCCCGCGGTGTCCGTTCGTTCCATGGTGGGGAAATAGAAGTGTTCTAATTACTGGCTTGAAATTACATATGCCCAATCAAACATATATTACAAATATAGCATAGTACGCGTAATGCATAAGACCTTTTTCATCGGCTTAGAGACATGCAGGCCACAGTAGTTGTATCGCGAAAAAGTGGGTCTGATGACATAATTTATATATAAGTACGATCTTCTAACAAACTAAGTACGATTTCCAAAGCGGCGCCATGACGTTGGAAATTGCTATGTGCACGGCGTTGCTAACAGCAACTGTAAGTATGGATCCACGCAGTCCAGCCGTAGCCGATCCTACTGCGACATTCCAAATATGTTGGAACGAACTTACACTGCTATGGATGCTATGGACTCCAAGCCTTTCCCGAGAGGTGTCGGAAGAGACTTATTATGATATGAGACGACCCAGAACCAAATGATACTAATCAACCATTTAGAGTTATCGAGATAA